AAGTGTTACTCAAACATGTGAATGAAAATAACACAACTCCAGGTCTGTTTCTGAGGAGGTAATAACATTCAGGGTTCTCACGGTCATGGAAATCCTGGAAAAGTCATGGAATTTTAGTATCTCTTTCACAAAACTCCAGTGTTCTGTTAAGTTCTCATGAGTCTGTTCTGATTATTTCTGAACGTCTGAGTGTTTTGTTTAAAAGAGACAATAATAAATGCACTGACAGGATTTAGAATGTTCAAAAACTATAATCCCAAACCATAACGTGAGTGGAAAGAGTTCACATTTCATATTTAGTTCTAAAAATCTGATCAATTCTACACATGCAGGTGCTGTAAAGTCATGAAAAGTTCACTTTAGGTCATAAAAAAGTCATGGAAAAGTTTTGAAATGTTCTCAGTGAAAAAGAGAACCCTGAACATTATTATTGCATGGCGTAAAGCTCACAAGAGTCAGTTTTGCGTAATACAGCACCTTAAATCTATCTTTATTTAAAAATATAAACACAGTTTCCTAGTACTTCTTTTTAACTTTTTGAACTCCTTTGCAGTCCTCGATCTCTTGTCGACTACAGCCCTAACGAACCTCTTCTCCACACAGAGTTTTTCAGTGAACCAACCTATAGATAACATCTTCTTAGTCCGAAAGCTCTCCTCCTTCGTCCTATTTCACTTTTTATGACCTTTTCGTTTTCTTCTGTTCTGCGTGCTTTGCTCTGTTACACATCTGCGCTTATTTATCTGTGGTCCTGGCGCAGAAATGTGGTCAACATGTGTGTGCAGACCAGACCTGCTCCACTCACTCCACACCATTCATCACTCATTTGGCCTGTGACTGTGAATGAGGACAATACTGGAACTCCTTTCTTGTAAAATATGAATTGACAAGACTGCAACTAAACCGCACGAAGTGGACTGGTGAAGATAGACTTTTATAGTTTTGAGTTTTATAGAAGGACATAAATACTAAACCCTAAGTCTGGGCTTTGTTATTGTAATCCAAACCCCAAGAAATATCAAGAAAACTGTAGTGTACTGTAGTGTACTGTAGTGTACTGTAGTGTACTGTAGTGTACTGTATGTGTACTGTAGTGTACTGTAGTGTACTGTATGTGTACTGTAGTGTACTGTATGTGTACTGTAGTGTACTGTACTGTAGTGTCCTGTAGTGTACTGTAGTGTACTGTAGTGTACTGTATGTGTACTGTAGTGTACTGTAGTGTACTGTACTGTAGTGTACTGTACTGTAGTGTACTGTAGTGTACTGTAGTGTACTGTATGTGTACTGTAGTGTACTGTACTGTAGTGTAGTAGTGTACTGTAGTGTACTGTAGTGTACTGTAGTGTACTGTAGTGTACTGTAGTGTACTGTATGTGTACTGTAGTGTACCTGTAGTGTACTGTAGTGTACTGTAGTGTACTGTAGTGTACTGTAGTGTACTGTAGCTGTACTGTAGTGTACTGTATGTGTACTGTAGTGTACTGTAGTGTACTGTAGTGTACTGTAGTACTGTATGTACTGTACTGTAGTGTACTGTACTGTAGTGTACTGTAGTGTACTGTATGTGTACTGTAGTGTGTACTGTACTGTAGTGTACTGTAGTGTACTGTAGTGTACTGTAGTGTACTGTAGTGTACTGTAGTGTACTGTACTGTGTGTACTGTAGTGTACTGTAGTGTACTGTAGTGTACTGTATTGTACTGTAGTGTACTGTAGTGTACTGTAGTGTACTGTAGTGTACTGTACTGTAGTGTACTGTGTACTGTATGTGTACTGTAGTGTACTGTATGTGTACTGTAGTGTCCTGTAGTGTACTGTAGTGTACTGTATGTGTACTGTAGTGTACTGTAGTGTACTGTATGTGTACTGTAGTGTACTGTAGTGTACTGTAGTGTACTGTAGTGTACTGTAGTGTACTGTAGTGTACTGTAGTGTACTGTATGTGTACTGTAGTGTACTGTAGTGTACTGTAGTGTACTGTAGTGTACTGTAGTGTACTGTAGTGTACTGTAGTGTACTGTAGTGTACTGTAGTGTACTGTAGTGTACTGTAGTGTACTGTACTGTAGTGTACTGTATGTACTGTACTGTAGTGTACTGTAGTGTAGTGTACTGTAGTGTACTGTAGTGTACTGTAGTGTACTGTAGTGTACTGTATGTGTAGTGTCTGTAGTGTACTGTAGTGTACTGTATGTGTACTGTAGTGTACTGTAGTGTACTGTAGTGTACTGTAGTGTACTGTAGTGTACTGTAGTGTACTGTAGTGTACTGTACTGTAGTGTACTGTAGTGTACTGTGTGTACTGTAGTGTACTGTAGTGTACTGTAGTGTACTGTACTGTACTGTGTACTGTAGTGTACTGTACTGTATAGTGTACTGTAGTGTACTGTAGTGTACTGTACTGTACTGTAGTGTACTGTAGTGTACTGTATGTGTACTGTAGTGTACTGTTAGTGTACTGTATGTGTACTGTAGTGGACTTTAATGTGGTCACAGTAGAATTTTAAAGGTTCTATTTTACACCAAGCTGAATCGTGTGAGATTTAAGTCAAGTCACCTGGAGTTGTGTTTTGTTTCATTCACACATTTGAGTAACACTTTAACAACACTATAACGAGTTAACACTAGGGCTGGGTATCATGACTAATAACCAGGATGCTGATGTGCATGCATACGCACTCATTCAGAAGTTGCTGATACGATACATACCTTGATACATAGGCCACGATACCGTACATATGTCGATACAGTGCACTTTCGGTTCAATACGATATATATTTCAAATCGATTCAATACGGTTCAATAGAAAATAAAGGATAAATCTTGGCTGTGACTGTAAAAGTCTTTGTTAAACAACTTCTTGTGTAAAGTTCATATGAAACACAAACATTTTAATCCTCAAAACAGTGAAAATGTCAAGTGGTCCCTTCCTCAGAACAAGCAACAAAACTGTGGCACTGTAACAAAATTTAGTTAAATATACCAAAAAGTGCCCTTGGTGATATATCAATACAGCAGCCCACGATATCAATACTGTATCATCACATTATTTCTATCAATATTTCAATATTTTTGCACACCCCTAGCTATAGTCACCATTTTTGTTTTGTTCAGTAGAGATTGGTAATTCCAGCTCTGAAATCATCCAAATGATTCTAGTGAAGGTGTGTGGAGCACTTCCTGTATTACCGCATGACATCACCAGGTGGAACAGAATGTTTTCAGTTTGAGAGAAGAAGTCAGTCTAAATGTTTGGGTTTGTGTGTTAAACATGTGTGAGTGAAATGAAACACAACTCCAGGTCTGTTTGTGTTGAGGAAACGACATTAGAACAGATCAGAAAATAGTGTAACATGGGCCCTTTAAGTCTTGAAATTGGCTTTGTGTATCAAACTTTTTCCTTTTATTTGAATCTTTTTTTTTCTTCTATGATGAAAACACCAATACCAACAGAAACATAAACTAAAGAAGACTTGACACATAATAAAACATGGGAGCCAGAATATGAATGCAGAATCTTTATATATTTCTGAAGTATTTGCATCAACATAGAACACAATGTACAAAGATGTATACGACATACGGCCAGTTCCCTTTTTGAAACAGGACGCCTTCATTTTATGTTTTATTAGTGCACCATGTATGTACAGATTAAGATTAAGAAACTTAAAAAATATATCTGACAAATAAATACTGTACAACACCTTTAACTAAGTTCATAAATCAAACGCGACCATGCTGTTTGACACAAGACCTTTGCAGCATCTCTGGCTAGTTTCTCTTCACACTGTTTCTATGGTAACTATATTTTGTTTTGTATGTACATGATAAATAAAGTGCCTTCATTTAAGATGGTTGTAAATGCCTGTTAACAGTTACACAAAGAAACAGAGGTCCTGAAAGATACATACGATCTTTTGACTGGACAGACAGGGTACTGCAACGTTCAGAGAGTAACTTATGGTTTCCAGCTGTACATTTGAATTAGGTGTAGTTTTAGTTGAACTCCCATTCTAAACTCTTGTCTTTTATCCGTGTGTATTAACCTCTCTATCCAGTCAAACCAATATTTAAATGGAGTCACTAATGCAGAGTTATTCATTAATGTATCTTGTAATAAGTACTGTACTGTTCTGTAATAACACTGAAAACCCTTCAGTCCCAGTTTGGAGTCGACAGGAGCATTGATCTGACCTTGATCACACCAAATTCACTCTGTGTCACTCTGTGTTTTCGCCTACCTGTCAGGCCCTGTCGCACCAGCAGGGCCAAGATGGATTCTGGTGAGTTTGTGAACTCACAAATATCACCAGAATCCATTTGTGTGCAAAGTTACATTGATCCAGCTGTGATCCAAATGTATTTTTCACTCTCCCCTTCAGTCCTCCAGACCCCACCACTCCTTCCCTTTAATCCTCCAAACCCCGCCTCCTCACTCTTCCTTTTAGTCCTGCAAACCCGCCCCCATTTAGTCCTGCTGGCCCCGTTCAGTTTAACGGCTCATTTTAACTTTGGCTGCGGCTGGAGTTTGTAGTTTCGTCATCACAAACAGACCTGGAGTTGTGCACACAACATGTAACACACAAACCCTGCAGGTTTAGGCTCTTCCCTTGAGTTCTTTCCTCAAACAGAAACACTCTGTTCCACCTTGTGATGTAATCAGACTTTAAAGGAAAAGCTCCACTGTGTTTTTAAACTCTTATACCCCTTCACTAGAATCATTTGGTTAATTTCAGCCCTGGATTTGCCAGTCTCTGCTGAAGGTGAAAGCTAAATGTTAACTTGAAAACTACCACTTCATGACATCACAAGATGGAGCAGAGCATTTTGAGCTTTGGAGATGTAAACAGAATAATGATATAGAGTTATTAAAACATATATATGGAGGAGGTAACAGCATTGTAAAAGAGCTTATAGCTCACAAGAGTCCATTTTGTCTCATTTAGAACCTTTAATTTTTCTCCAAACTGGGACTGAAAACCACTAACCATCAGTGTGTTGTTCTTTTTTTTTTTTTTTTTTATGTATTTCTTTTTTATAAGCACTACATTTACTGACCCATTCCTTTAGTATGTATTTGGATTACACAGCTTATAGCATGTTTTAGGCTGTACTCGTGTGATACTGTAGAGGTAAAGAAGACATTTTACTCCTGGTCAGTAATTCCCCTGAGAAGGTTTTTTGAAACACAAGCTACTCATTGTACAATATGTTTTTCTATTTGCACCGTAGAGACTGGGTTTACGCAGGCACCAATCGTCTGCCTCTTAACTCTTTGGCACCCTGATCAGAGATTTTCCTGGCTGTCAAAATGCACCGTATCCGAGCGCCAAATGTTTGAAATTCAATCTTTTCTTTCTGTTAAGGCTGCTCCAATCATACACACCAGACAGATGTCCACAATCCTCGTTTTACTGTCCATTCTTCTTTTCTTCTTTCCAATGTCTTTATGTTTTGCATATTTAAATCCTACTTTATTTATAATAGCAGCAATTTTAACAGTATTACCTGTCCCGGTCCCTATCCCCAGTGTTTCTATTCGTCAAATACCAAACAAAACACAAACGTCAGCCAGTAAACACGTCTCGCTCATGAGCTGTGTGAAGAAGCAAGAGCAAAAACAAAGGTGCATTGTGTAACTTTCCTGCTGGAGAGTCCATCAAATACTTTTCTCCATGGAGATGTCATTGCTTTGTCTGGAATGTTACACAGTATGAGACCTGCATCTAAATCTTCATAGAGACCAAACCAGACCAAGTTACAGATCAGATCTATGAGGAGGCGACCCCACTCACAGTCACAATGTCTGTTTTTCTAGAAAATTTTCAGCTATAAAACCACCTGTGATTGAATAAATGTAAAGTAGAGCTGTTTAATGTCACACTGTGGAACATTTCAGGCAGAGCCTCTACCAGAAAAGTTACACAATTCACCTTTAACAAAAGGGAGTATGATCTGAAGGGGACATGGGTTGCCTCATCTTCACTGTGGTAGATGAGTTTAAGTTTTAATTACCAAGGGCTGTAGTCATTTGATTCAGTTACTTTACTAAGATTATTGATACTTTGCAGTGACATCATGTGGGGGTGTTCTGCCTGGATGTCTATGTTAAAAAGGTACCATGGTGACACAATGCAACATTTTGAAGACTTGAAGATCAAGAGAAAATACAAAATGGATTTCAACAGCATATTTTCAGGAGCCTGTGATCAGTGCGAGTGTTCATGGTTCTGTTTAGGAGTTTGATTTTCAAAGGTGAGAAACTCACTGAAAAACAATGTTTATCATTGACTGTAAGTTTCTGTGTGAGACGTGTTTAACAGATCAGCTCACCTGTTGTACTTCCACTAGGTCAGATCTTTCTGCTCAGTGCTAAAATAAAACAGAAATTAAAATCTAATAAAGCCTTAGACAGAGCAGAGCCTACAGTTAGCATCACACCCCCGGGGAATGTTGATGACATCATGTGCAAAGTATCAGCTAATCAAAGTGCAGGACACGTCTTTAGTGGAGAAACAGCGTTAGTCGCCCGCGGCCCTGGCCTGAGTGTAGCTGAGTGGAAGTTGGGCCGTGTGTGGTGCACTTTTGGCTGTTGGACTCAGTATTCTCGCGCTTCTTCCAGTTCGTTCATGAAGATGTCCTCGTGAGGATTCTCTGGACACTTGAGTCCGTTGTTGGGGGGTCTGATGGTGTGGAAGCGGCTCCAGTCCCCTTTGCACAGGATCCAGGGCAGGACATCCACCTTAAAGTGAAGGTCGGGGGAGAACTCGGTGCTGATGAGGTTGGGCGTGCCGGCGCTTTTGCCCCGGGTGATGAGGCGCCCGCGGTCGTCATAGCAACAGTGCTGGGCGGCCAGCGTGGACAGGTCTGCGGAGAGGGCGGAGCGGATGCAGCTGCGCGCGGAGGGTTTGTACACGTCCAGACGCTCTTTGGGACCACTGGCATCTCTCCAGCGAAAGGGACGGTCCTGAGAATCGTCAAACACACTGACCACGGTGTAGGAGACCTCAGAGGGGTACGAGCAGGGGCAGTGGGGCAGCTCCGAGAGGGCAAGAGCCATGTACTGCTCCAGGAACTCACTCTTACAGCTCAGCCACTTCTCACAGCTATCCACATCTAAAGACACAAACACACAGTTAGTCTGAGGATACACAACATAAACTGTGTAGAGAAGTGGACTAAGGGCGTGTGATGTCACCCACAGCATTCGGCTCCAGTCAAATGAAGCTCACGAGGCTAGCAGTTACAGGAGCATGAAGCTGAGCTCAATGTTAGGAATTTAACAAAATACCAAAATAAAAACACCTGATGAACATTTTAAAACCAAAATAACGAGGCTCACTGCAGCAGTTACAGAGAGGCGACCATTTTTTAATGTAAAGTCAATTGAAGCCAGAGCTGGGATGAGATGAGATGGAGCTGGAAGCTCCTCCATGGTCACTCTCTATTTGGAACACAGCAGGTCAGCTATGTCCATTTATACGGACGCACACATAAAGTGTGCCATCAGCTTCTACAGCACATGTTTAGTGTTTTATGTTTTCTGTGCAACACTTTGTAATTTCTCTTGTTTATAAAATATTTGAGCAGAAACACACCTGTGCCAAATGGTTCTGTGCCATTCTCCATTTCAAAGAGGAACGGGTCTGCCACAGTGTTGTCCTCCCCTGAAACATCAACAGGTAGAATCAGATCACCACATATAAAAGAGAGTACAAGCTCAACAGTTAGAAGAGAGAACAGACAGAGAAGCCCGTCTACAGAGCAGCAGACAGAGTGTTACCTGGGCAGGGGTCCAGGTCACAGCGGGCTGCTTCTGTCAGTGTACACGAGAACCCACACGACTTGGTCCTCTTCCTCTCTCCGTGTCCACACGTCACTGAGCACGGAGTCCAGGGAGTCCACTCCTCAGGCTCCTTCTCTGAACACACAACACAGAGTGTGAGTGTTGGTGGCTAAATCACCTCAGTGTAAATATACTCTGTGTCATTATTGGTGATTTTCTGATTAGAAGGATTTCCAGGAGAGATCAGACGCTATGGGACTGCAGTTCCTGGCAGTGCTGTTTCTGTGGGCGAACATTTACGCTGCTAAATACTCTGTGTTTTACCACCAGAATAGAAACTTCAAAAGGAGAGTTTCAAGCAAAACTGCAAATTTAGGAAACAGTCTAATGTGTGTGTATTTCAGAACTAAACACGTCTGGATGAAGCTCGCTTAGTTTCACGCAGGGCACGCACTATATTCCCCTGTGTTCCCCTGGCCTGACCTTTCCCAGGCAAAGTCATATTCTGAAGTCAAATTAGAGAGGCTGAAAGTGCTGTGGCTGTCCGCCTCCGCACCATGTTTCCTTGTGGTGTTAATAACACTCAAAACAAGTGTGCACTGATTAAAGGCGAGGTGGGTGCACAAATACCAGCCTGGGTCTACGGAGGGCCCAATTTGACTTTGTGGGCACTGCCAACTCGCAATGTGACCAAAGTGGAAAAGATCTCAGGACTGTCTTAATTACAGAAGACGCCGAGGCACACATCTTTGATTTATGAGCTACTTAAGATCGCACAGTTTCACATTGTCGCTGTTGAAAAGTCTGTTCAGGCTGATAAAAAGACTCTGTGAATTTCAATTTACTTCTCTTAAAATAAACAGTTAAATTCACATCCAGAGTTAAAATCCTTGTCTGAGCCAAGGGAACCTCAGCGTTAAAGTGCAGCACTGTAGTGGAGCTTTGAGTAGAGAGTATTTTCAGTTAAATCCTTCTTGCAGCTGTACTTCTTTGATCAGACATTATTAGTTACATAAATGGCGTTATTATTAAGTATTGTGTGGACCACAGGCAGGATAAACCAGAAACTACTAATACTAAGAAGAATTCAGCCCATGAGTGCAGCTGATTCTAGTGAAGGTTTGTAGAATTGTAGTGTGCTGTAGTGAGTCTCATTATTTGTGGAGCTTGGCTCCTGACGGGCCTCTGTACACAGAAATACAACAGTGTTTCCCACCAGAGCACAACACAATCAAACAAAGGAAAAAAGAGCTTGAAGTTATGCAGAACTCTCACAGTCTCTACATTCTTGAACCTACTCAAAGGGCTGTGCCGCGGGGCAGCTATGGGGGCAGCTATGGGGGCAGAGAGCTCTGCCAGGCTCTGGTTTGGGGCTGGGGGCCTTGGGGGCAGGTGTGGGGGCTCTGGTTCGGGGCTGGGGGCTGTCCGCTCTGAGCAGAGGATGAAAGCAGCCGAATAGTCATTCTGTGTTCCCAACATGGTTCTAATTGTCCACAAGAGCTGGACTGTTTTGTCCCGGGGACAGCGCCGCCTCACGCTGCCATAACGAGGCCCCGGCCCCACCATCACAGACCAGTGCCCACAGAGCACCCACACAGCACCCACTGGCACCGCTCACTGTGCCCTGTGCTGCTCTTCCCACTGATGCCCTGTAATTGTAAGTGTCCTCACAGTTTAAAGTGACACATGTAGCAGCAGCTTCAAGGACGTCTGAGTCTGTCAGGAGAATCTGACAGGAGCATACGGGCACAGACAGTGGGACAGTTGGCACCTACCGTGGTAGCTCTTTACTGGATCCCAGCCTCCATTCCAGTGAGTGCCCCAGTCGCTGCCCACTCCGCTGGGCACAGGCTCTTCGCTGTAGTCCACAGAGTAGTCCTCCTCTTCCTCCTCCTCCTCCTCCTCTGGGTCCTGAGTGCTGGAGCGGCTGCTGTTTTCTTCACTGGAGTCTGTGTCGGTGTAGCTCCAGAACAGAGGCCAGAACAGCTGCTTTCCCCCGCTCAGGTCCACGGAGGAGGGCGGAGATGGAGGGAGCCATTCTTTCTCCTTCGCCAAATCCATCTCCAGCTCCATCTGAGGATCATCCACCACCTCGATAGTCACCTGCAGAGAAGCACAACATGAAACAGGAGAAAGTAGAAATGTTTGTGCAAACTCCTGTGTGCCATGTGCTCTGTGCCATGTGTCATGTTTGAGTCAGTTATTTTAAACTGAAGCTGTTTCCTCGTCAAACAGCCAGACATGAGCACGCAGCACAGAGCTCTGCTCTGACAGAGTGTGAGCCTTTCTTCTGGTAAAGTGCCTCTCACTGCCTCTGTGTGAGTCATCCAAAACTCCTGTAGTCTGAAGACGTGTTTGAAATGATGTGAAGGCCAGGAGAGAGTCAAATATGAAGAGTGATTTTTGTAACTGTTGTCCAGTAGGAGCTTTAGTGTGTGTAGTTTGAATCGACAGAGTTTGTGTCCTTCTGTCGCTCTGACCACATCCTGATTGGACTGACCAGAGTTGAGAGAAAAAACTGCCCCAAGATGTGAAACAGAACAGCTTTAGAATAATGAAGACTTTGGCAATGGTGAGGATTTAAAAAGCCTCTTTGCAACTACCATGAAATTAAACAGGATCTGCAGGCAGCTGCTTGTCAAAAAATGGACTGTGAGTCAAAAGGGACACACTGTGTTGTATGAAATAAACTTTTATGAGTGATTTATCATTCAGTCCTGCAGTAGGGTCAATTGCCATTTTCACCTACCCCCTATCTCCGCCCACAGCTCTGTATGTACATGTAGAGTTCAAATATAAGTGTACTTCTCATACTTTTGGGGGCGCTCCTCACCTGTATGTTGGGGTTCTCGTTGTCTTCAGCGTGGCTCAGGTCTGGCAGGTTGTGGAGGTCCAGGATGAAGGGTCTGGACTCCTCTTCAGGTTCAGGCTTTGGCAGGACCCCCACAGAGCGCTGCTGTGGGTGGGGCCATCTCCGGGGGGGTCCCTGGGGCTCCGGCAGAGACTGGACCTGATTGTGCTGCTCGGACTCTGGGTCGTACTGCAGTGGGTCGGAGAGGAGGAAGTGGCCCTGAGGAGAAACACATTTCATCAGTGGAGGAAAGAGGACTGAGAACTTATACTAAAGTTAAAGTAGTGTCACATAAAAGCTCAAAACCTACACTGCAGATGGAAACTGTCTATTTAAACTGGTATGGAACATCTGCTATGGACATGCTTTACCTCCAATATTCTAAAGTATGACATTAAACTTTTCAGTCTCCATAGAAACAAGCTAGAGACACCACCAGGGCAGTTTACAGGTGAGATCTGTGAGGAGGCGACCCCACTCACAGTGAGGCATTTTTAAGCAATAGAAAATCCCATTGTGAAATAAACACGCCTTTTAAATTTAAAACCATATTGTGGAAAATTGTGGGCAAACAGTAGCATCTCCATGATAGGAGACCCTTAACCTGAAAAGTTACACAGTACAACTTTAATGTCTCTGTACATTGACCCTTCAAATAAAGACCAAGCTAAAGTAAAAGTTTTCAACCACATATTGTTTGGAAACAGGAAATCCAGTGTGCTTTAGTTTGTCAGTGTAAAGAGCAGCACAGACAGCACTGAGACAGCTGTGGAGCGAGACTAACAGGACTAACTCAGAGTTAGACATGCACACATACAATACTGTATCAGATATCGGCGCCGTTATTGAAAGTTTTCATGAATCGATATCGGTTCAATCAGTATCCCATTTTGGTTTATCAAGTAGTGTAATAAAACAATTTACAGGCCAGTATTGGCATCTCAATATTAAACTTTTTCAAAGCTGTTTTGTAATTACTTAAAATAAATAACAAATACAAAACTCACATTCACATTCATGTCAGTGGAACAGGAACATAAATCTGACATATAGTCAGTTCATTTGTGTAAAATGTTCAGTGTTCATGTGACCAACACGTCACACTGCACTGATTCTCTGGAGGTTTTAAAGTGACTTTACCGTCCGTTTTGAACTGATTTACTGTCAACATCAGCCCCATAAAATAATAATAATAATAATAATAATAATAATAATAATATAATAATAATAATAATAATAATAATAATAATAATAATAATACAATGTATTACTACATGATGATGTCAGCGTCTCCCAAAACTTCCAGAATAAGGTGAATAGGAAATACATTATATTTTTAGTCTTTGGTTGGGATCAGGAATCACCAATTTAAAGCCAAAGTATCGACATCAGTATCAGAACAAAAGCTGGACTTGTGTATACCTGGTACTAGTGTTTTAAATAGCAGCTGTACTCAAGGACATGTTTAACTTTCGACTCAAAGTACAGTAGAGTTCCCCACACAATCTACTCCACTCACATGATTAGTAAACAGTTCTTTTCCAGCTCTGTCTTCAGCACAAAGAGAACAGTGTTTATCAGAGTGTTTTTATTGAGCTCTGATATAAACATGTGAATAGTGACACCACCTGGAGCCAGAGGGCAGCACGCGCCTCTCCACAGCCAAACAACTGCTCCACCATCAACAATCACAGCTTTGTTTCACTGAGGAAACTGTGGAAATGACTCCACTTTACGCGCTCTGTTCCAAAGACCTCTGAGGATTCTGTGCAGTCCAAAAAGCCCTGGGGATGGGGAGTCAGGAGCAGCGTAAGTGAGCAGGTTTGAGCTGGTTTTGGTTGAGTTTCCCAGAGTCCCGAGCAGGTCCAGGACAAAGAGGGGCCTGTCCCTCTCAGATCCTCTTTTAGCCTAATGAGAGAACAAGGCTGTGAGCCGTGGGACTGCACTAATGTGTCTGAAGCCGCCGCGCTAACTCATCACTTCTGCTCACTTTTCACTATTTACACAGCGCAGGAATGTAACCAAGTAAAAGTATTCAAGTACTGTACTTAAAGGTGCATTGTGTAACTTTTCTGCTGGAGGGTCCGTCAAATGCTTTTCTTCATGGAGATGTTGTTGCTTTGTCTGGAATGTTTCACAGTGTGGCATTAAAACTGTTCTTCTTCATGGAGACCAAACCAGACCAAGTTCCAGGTCAGATCTGTGGAGAGGCGACCCCGCTCACAGTCACAATGTCTGTTTCTTTAGGTATTTTTGAGTTATAAAACCACCTATGATTTAACATAAAACTGTTTAATGTCACACTGTGGAACATTCCAGGCAGAGCAATGACGTCTCCATAGAAACCAGCTGGTGACAGATCCTCAACCGAAAAGTTACACAATGCACAATAAATTATTATCTAATATTTTTTCTATTCCAAGTTTGTCCTTAGTGCATCAGATGTGTCTTTTTAAACAGATTTCAAACAGATTTCAAACAAATTTTAAACAGATTTCAAACAGATTTTATGCAGATTTTAAGCAGGTTTCAAACAGATGTGTGACATCAAATGGAAAAAGAGGAGCTATGAAAATCAACAGTTCTCAGTATGTTTGTAAATTCATCATCAAAAATACTGCAAATCCCAAATCAATGTCATTATTTGACTAGAGAAGTACATTTTGGAGGTGACCTCTACACTGGAGCTCACTACACATGTCAAAATACTGACGTGAACATGAGCACAAATCCATTGAACTCTTTGGATTGATTGATTGATTATTTGAATAGGGACAAATACAGATGGACACTTCAGTGATGTGACGCAGGGATCAGGCAGGGTTTTTAAACTGATCACTAAAAAGCAGTGGGAAAAAAAGACAGTGAAAGTGTGAAGAAAATCAAATATCAAAATATCACACACACACACAGACAGTGGGGCAAAAAAGTATTGAACAGTTATAGAACGGTGCTGGTGCAGTTAACACAGGGAACGAGTGAAGCTTCTTAAAGAAGAAATAACAAGTCTGTGAGAGAATGAATTCTTGCTTTTTAGAGCTGCTAAATACTTATTTTCTCCATTATACAAATACATTCTTTAAAAATCACACAATTTGATTTCCTGGATTTTTGTTCACATTCTGTCTCTCACAGTTGAAGCGTATCGATGATGAAAAACACAGACCTCTCGTCTTTTTAAGTTGGAAAATGGGCACTTTCTGTTACTGCAAAAGACTTTTTTTGCTTCACTGTACACACACACACGCATGCGCACACCCCCATCTACTCACACACACACACACAGACACACGCACACACATTGCTGCTGTTGAAAAAGACCCGTCTGTTTCGTAAAGCTCCTAAATTACACAAAAGTGACTCTTGTGAGCTTTTAGTCATGTTCTAATGCTGTTTCCTCCTCAAACAACACACCTGGAGTTGTGTTTTGTTTCCTTCACACATGTTTCAGTAATTCTTTATTACCTCCAAAGCTCAGAATGCTCTGTTTCACCTTGTGATGTCATGACGAGGTAGTTTACAGCTCCTTGTTCCTTCAGTTCAGTGGAGTTTGACAATTCCAGGGCTAAAATTGTCCAAATGATTCAAGTAAAGGTGTGTGGAGTTTATGTGTGAATGAAACAAAACACAACTCCAGGTCACGACATCAAAACAGAGATCAGAAAATCATGTCATATGGGCCTTTAAAAAGCGTACAGTTGGGTTTACAGGGTTCCCACTCTATTTCACTGATATAATTTCAAAACTTTTCCATGACTTTTTCATTACCTTAAGTGAATTTTCCATGACTTTACAGCACCAACATGTGTAGAACTGATCAGACTTTTAGGGCTAAATCTGAAATGTGAACTCTTTCCATTCACCTTATGGTTTGGGATTATAGTTTTTAAACATTTAAAATCCTGTCAGTGCATTTATTGTCGTCTCTTTAAACAAAAGACACAAAAGTTCAGAAATAATCAGAACAGACTCATGAGAACTTAACAGAACACTGGAGTTTTGTGAAAGAGATACTAAAATTCCATGACTTTTCCAAAACTTTCATTGAATTTACACAAATGTCATGACTTTTCCAGGCCTGGAAAATGAGATTTTCAATTTCAGTGTGACATTGAACAGTTCTACTTTACATTTATACAGTTACAGGTGTTTTTATAATTGAAAACTCCCTAGAAAAACAGACACTGTGAGTGTGAGCGGGGTCGCCTCTCCACAAATCTGACCTGTAACTTGGTCTGGTTTGGTCTCCATGAAGATAGAAAGGTATTAAACCTTTTCACACTGTGAAACATTCCAGCCAAAGCAATAACATGTCCAAGGGTCAGATCAGAGAACAGATAGTGGTCGGTGATGCTTGTGGGACAGACGTGTGTGTGTCCAGAAAGACGAGCTGCTCTGTGGACACATCATGTCCAGAAGAATTCTGTGAACCATGAGACGCAGGAGGAGTGAACCTGTCCTACATTCACCGATACAAAGACGAGAGCACAAAACACACACCACAGACACGTCCAGGCTCTGGACTACAGGCCTGTCACAAAAGAGACGCTTATTTACATCATTATTCATTATTGACATGTTCTCCAGAAAAGGACGTCTTCTTTAAAGGGTTTATGACTCTGATTTCTGACCTATGTTCTAATGTCGTTTCCTCATCCCAAACAGACCTGGACTTGTGTTTTGTTTCATTCACATGTTTAACTCACAAACCTGCACATTTAGACTTGTAGGCTCGAGTTCTTCTCTCCATCAGAAAACACACTGTTCCACGTTGTGATGTCATCCGGTGATACAGGAAGTGCTCCATTGTGTTTTCAAACACCACACACCTTCTCTAGAATCATTTGGATGAATTCAGCTCTGGAATTGCAAATCTCCTCTGAACTAGACTTGAAAGGAGCTGTTCACATGAAAACCACCACTTCATGACATCACAAGGTGGAACAGAACATTTTCAGCTTTGGAGATGCAGACAAACTAATGAAACAAAACACAACTCCAGGTCTGTTTTTTTTTTTTTTTTTTTTTTTTTGAGGTAACAACTTTATAACAAGTTAAGAGTCTCATTTTGCGTCATATCGGACTTTTAAAGATGCACTGTGTAACTTTTTTGGTGGGATGTCCATCACCTGCTTGTTTCTATGGAGATGTCATCACTGCCTGTAATGTTCCACAGTATGACATTAAACAGCTCTAACTTACATATATTCATTTACAGG